TATTTTGTAGTTTGTGAAATAACAGGTTGGTTCCAAAGAATCCTCCAAAGCTGGTTAATTTTGAAATAAGGAGAATATCATTATGAACTTATGGATTTAAAAAATGTGTTTTCTTTTATTGCATTTATTTTCCTATTGATGCTCAAGTTGTCCAATTTTTTTTTAAAGATTTTATTTATTTATTTGACAGAGAGAGACACAGCAAGAGAGGGAACACAAGCAGGGGGAGTGGGAGTGGGAGAAGCATGCTTCCTGCGGAGCAAGGAACCCGATGTGGGGCTCGATCCCAGGACGCTGGGATCATGACCTGAGCCAAAGGCAGACGCTTAATGACTGAGCCACCCAGGCACCCAAGTTGTCCAATTTTTGACCAGGGAAAACTTCTGCTTGGCTCCTGCATTCTTTTTTTTTTTTTTTTTAAGTATAGTTGACAAACAATGTGACATTAGTTTCAGATGTACAACATAGTGATTCCACAAGTCTATATGTAACCCAATGCTCACCGCAAGTGTACCCACCATCTGTCACCATACAACACTACTACAGACGATTGACTGTATTCCCTATGCTGTACCTTTCATCTCCATGACTTATTCATTCCATAGCTGGAAGCCTGTACCTCCCACTCCCCTTCACCCATTTTGTCCATCCTCCCACCCCCGTTCCCTCTGACAATGATCAGTTTGTTCTATTTTTTTGGTTCATTTCTGCTTTTTGTTTGTTTATTTTGTTTTTTAGATTCCATATGTAAGTAAAATCATATGATATTTGTCTTTCTCTCTCTGACTTATTTCACCTAGCATAATACTCTCTAGGTCAATTTATGTGGTTGTAAATGGCAAAATGTCATTCTTTTTTATGGCTGAGTAATACCCCATTATATAGATATACATACCCCTTTTCTTTATCCATTCATCTATGGATGGACACCTGGGTTGCTTCCATATCTTGGCTATTGAAATAATGCTTCAATAAACAGAGGAGCACATATCTTTTTGAATTACTGTTTTTGTTTTTGTTTTCTTTGGGTAAATATCCAGTAGTGGAATTATTGGAGCATATGGTATTTCTATTTTAATATTTTGAAGAAATTCCATACTACTTCCCACAGTGGCTGCACCAATTTACATTCTCACCAACAGTGCACAAGGATTCTTCTTTCCCCAGATCCTCACCAACACTTGTTATTTCTTATCTTTTTGATTCTAATCATTCTGACAGATGTGAAGTGATATTTCACTACAGTTTTCATTTGCATTTCCTTGATGATGAATGATGTTGAGCATCTTTTCATGTGTCTGTTTCCCGTCTATATATGTTTTTGGGGAAAAAAATTCTATTTAAGTCCTCTGCCCATTTTTTGTTGGATTATTTGGTTTTTGGTGTTACGTTGTATAAATTTTGGATATTAATCCCTTATCAGATATGTCATTTGCAATATCTTCTCCTATTTAGTCAGTTGCCTTTTCATTTTGTTGATGGGTTCCTTTGTTGTGCAAAAGCTTTTTATTTTGATGAGGTCCCAATAGTTTATTTTTGCTTTTGTTTCCTTTGTCTGAGGAGACATATCTAGTAAAATGTTGCTAAGATTGATGTCAAAGAAATTACTGTCTATGTTGTCTTCTAGGAGTTTTATGGCTTCAGATCTCACATTTAGGTGTTTAATCAATTTTGAGTTGATTTTTGTATATGGTGTAAGCAAGTGGTCCAGTCTCATTCTTTTGCATATAGCTGTCCAGTTTTCCTAGTACCATTTATTGAAGAGACTGTCTTTTCTCCATTGCATATTCTTGCCTCCTTTGTCATAGATTAATTGACTGTGTAGTGTGGGTTTATTTCTGGGCTTTCTATTCTGTTCCACTGATTCTATGTGTCTATTTTTGTGTCAATACAATACTGTTTTGATTAATACAGCTCTGGAGAATATCTTGAAATCTGGAATTGTAATACCTCCTGCTTTATTCTTCTTTCTAAAGATTGCTTTGGCTATTTAGGGTCTTTTGTGGTTCCATACAAATTTTAGTATTATTTGTTTTAGTTCTAAGAAAAAGGCTGATAGTATTTGGTAGGGATTGCATTGAATCTGTAGGTTGCTTTGGGTAGCATGGATATTTTAATGATATTAATTCTTCCAATCCGTGAGCATGGAATATCTTTCCATTTGTTTGTGTTGTCTTCAATTTTTTTCAACAGTGTTTTATAGTTTTCAGAGTATAGGTCTTTCACCTGCTTGGTTAAGATTACTCCTAGATATTTAATTCTTTTTGATGCAATTGTAAATGGGACTGTTTTCTTACTTCTCTTTCTGCTGCTTTGTTATTCGGGTATAGAAACACAACCAATTTCTGTGTATTAATTTTGTATCCTGCAACTTTACCAAATTCTTTATTAGTTCTAATAGTTTTTATTTTGTTTTGTTTTGTTTTGTTTTGTAGTCCTCAGGGTTTTCTATGATTAGTAGCACAGCATCTGCAAATGGTAACAATTTAACTTCTTACCAGTTTGGATGACTTTTATTTCTTTTTCTTTTCTGATTGTTGTGGCTAGAATTTCCCGGTACTATGCTGAATAAAAGCAATGAGAGTGGACATCCTTGTCTTGTTCCTGATCTTGGAAGGAAAGCTCTCAGTTATTCACCATTGAGTATGATGTTTGCTGTGGGTTTTTCATATAAGGCTTTTATTATATTGAGGTATGTTCCCTCTAAACCCACTTTGTTGAGAGTTTTTATCACAATGAATTTTGAGTTTTGTCAAATGCCATTTCTGCATCTATTGAGATGATCATATGATTTTTATCCTTCATTTTGTTGATGTGGTGTATCATGTTGACTGATTCATGAATATTGAACCATCCTTGCATCCCCAGAATAAATCCCGCTTGATTGTGGGGAGTGATCCTCTTAATGTATTGTTGACCGTGGTTTGCTAATATTTTGTTGAAGATTTTTGCAAGAGATCTCTTAACCTATCCTCACTTTTAAAAATTCTTTTTTCTTTCTTCTTTTTTTTTTTTTTAAGATTTTATTTATTTATTTGACAGAGAGAGACACAGCAAGAGCAGGAACACAAGCAGGGGGAGTGGAAGAGGGAGAAGCAGGCTTCCCGCGGAGCAGGGAGCCCGATGTGGGGCTCAATCCCAGGACTCTGGGATCATGACCTGAGCCAAAGGCAGACACTTAATGACTGAGCCACCCAGGTGCCCCCCTTTTTTCTGTTTTGCTTGGATGTTTCCATTACCCTGTCTTCCAGATGTCTAATCTGTCTTCTGCTTCTGCTAATCTACTGGTTGCTTCCCTCTAGTGTATTTTTCATTTCAGTTACTGTATTCTTCAATTCTGATTGGTTCTTTTTTACATTTTCTATCTCTTTGTTTAAGCTCTTACTGAGTTCTTCCACTTCTCTCTTCAGTCCCATGAGCATCTTTATGATCATTACTTCAAACTCTTCATCAGGCATATTGCTTATCTCCATTTCCTTTAGTTCTTTTACTAAGGTTTTCTCTTATTCTTTCATTTGGAGCATAGTCCTGTCTCTCCATTTTGCTTGATTTTCTGTTTGTTTCTATAAATTAGGTGGAACCGTGACTTCTACACTTGAAGGAATGGTCTTATGATGGCTGTCACCTATGTAGACTGTGCCTGGTGACTTTAACCATTTGGCTGGAGCTGTGTGGCCTGGGGGTCCCAAGGTCAGGGCTGGAGCTGCCCTGGTGAAATGGCCAGAGCTGAAATGGACATGGGCTGGGATGGCCCTGCGGCTCTTCATGGAGAAGGCACCCTGGCAGGACAGCTTAAACTGAAGTGAGTGCAAGGGGAGAGGCTGCTGAGCTCTCTGCACAGAGAGTGCCCTGGCAGGACAGCTGAACCTGAAGTGGGTATAAACCAGGGTGCCCTGGGGTGCTCGGCACAGGGGTTGGCTTGGCGGGGCAGCTGGGACAGAGATGGGGTGTGATCTGGGAGGTCCCAGGGTGCTCCATGCCCTGCTGGGGTGGTTAGAACTGAGGCAGGCTCAGGCCAGGTGTTCCCAGGGTGTTCTGCACAGGGGACACTTTGGCAGGGCAGCTGGAGCTAAGGCAGGCATAGCCAGGAAGTCCCAGAGTACTCTGTATCAGGGGTGCCCTAGCAAGCCATCTGGAGCTGAAGTGGGATGGGCCTGGAGTCTTCTGGGGTGCTCTGCTCCTGTGTCACCTTGGTGCAATAGCTGGAGCTGTAGTGGGCACTGACCAGGGATGTTCTGGTGTACACTGCCCAGTGTACACCAAGGAGACTTGGTGGGATGGCTGGAGCTGGTGTGGGCTAGGGGCCCAGGAAATGCTGAGGCAGCAGGCCGGTAGGGTGCACAGACCCTGTTCCAATCCACTATCAAGGCAGAAGGGGAACATAAACACAGACACTCACTAGCCCCTCCAATCCAGAGAAAGTTCCAGCAACACCCTCCCTGTTTGGCAAGGTTCTAGGGCTAGTCCCTTCATATTCTAGCTGCTCTTTTAAATCTCAGCCTTTCTTTCTGTGCCCCAGGGCAAAGAAATCTGCTCAAGTTCATCTCAGGGTACTATCCCCCCCACTGCAGTTCCCAGTGTGTTTGTGGGGATGAGGGGTTCCCTTTGTTACCATGTCTCCATCTCTCTTGTCATTCTCAGAGTGGTCTCTCGATCTTTTGTTGTGTACAGGCTGTTCAGTCAGTCCTCAGTTCTTCTTTAGGAGGAAATTATCTATAAACAGGTGTAGATTTGGTGTGTCCATGAAGGAGGTGAGTTCAGTGTCTTCCTATGTCGCCATCTTGGACTGGAATTCAGGATAGTGGTTTTTTGCAGTGCTTAACAAGAGGTGGACTCATAGATGCTTAGTAAATTTCTATCGAATTCATTTGAACCGATTTCAGTGTACAAATACATCCCCGATTTTAATAAAGAAGATAAGAAAAATAAAATTACTATGCTCTTTTTTTTTAAAGATTCTATTTATTTATTTGACAGAGAGAGACACACAGAGAGGGAACACAAGCAGGGGGAGCGAGAGAGGGAGAAACAGGCATGCTCTGATGAAACATTATTAAAATAGAAATCTACTATATCATTTTACTCTTCTTACATCAATTTTTAGTAGAACAGCATTCTATGAACCTTGTCTATACAAGCAATAACATCTTCTCTGTTTCATGCAAAACATTATATTGAGTACCTACTTTATGCCTAACAGTAGGAATACAAAGTGAAAAGTCTCAGGCCCCATTCATGGAGAGTTCTAGACCACAGAAGATAGTTTGTACTCTAGGCCTAGGGCAGCTCTGTCTTTCTGCAATGACAGAAGTGTTATACATCCAATATGGTGCTCCTAGCCCCAGGTGGATGTTGAACACTTGAAATGTGCCCCACTATGACTAAGGAACTGACTTTTTAATTTTATTTAATTTTAATTAATTTAAATTTTAAAAACTACATGTGAATAGGGGCTACCAATTTGGACAGAACAACTCTAGGTCAAAGAAATAAAATGCAGAAGAGAGCTGAGGCCCCTCCAGTGGCAAACACTGTAGCTTTTATTTTTATATCCTGTCATAGTGTATCCGAGTGCTGCCTAAGGAGGGGCCAGGAAAGGAAGGAACTGCTATGTCTGTGTGTATGCTTTTGTGAGTTTGCATGAGTTTATATATGTTTATTGCCACCCATGGAAAGTGGAGCGTAAAAAAAGAAGAGAGATGAAAAGAGAGGTTAAAAAGAAAAAAATGGTCTTGGAGGTGTCTGGCACAGCATAGGAGCTCAGCAATCTTAATTTCCTTGTCACTTATTCTTAGATCTTTTCCCAATAGGATTTGGAAGACCGTTTGGAGATCTCAGATGTCAGAGCTAAAGGGCCACACAGGAAGAGAGAAGATATAGGAATAAGAATCAAGATGAAAACAGGCCCCACACACCCCCCAAAAAAGTCTGTGGCAGCAAAGAAAAACCCCTGACTGCACTGATGCCCACATTCAGTCCTGGCTCCTGCTGGTCCCTTCATTGTGAGATCCACAGAGAAGATTAAATTGCCAATGCTTTCTCACCACCCTTCTATCATTTTACTGTGACCTGTAGTAACCACTGAACTAGAATATCAAAGGCCCTCAAGTCCTACTCTCCTAGAACTAATATTTCATTAAGGGTAAAAAGTTCAGCTGTCTGGGAAGTAATGGAGCTCCTTCGTGACTTCTGGTAAGTGATGAGGTTTCTCCTCAACTTTCTCCAATGCTTCTCCAAGTGCTGTCTTTATGTCATACCCAGGGGACCCAGTCTCTAGCTCACCAGCCACTTCTCAGTCCTGCATATCAAAGCCCTCCTGTTGCTATAGACAGAGGAGGAATAAAAATTGTAATAACAAGTAAAATAAGTAACAGTAATTCTCTCTCAATAAATAATAATAATAAGGAAAATAATAGTTTTTATGTAGGATAAGTGGTTTACATCCAAAGAGAATGCAGTTAATCCTCAAATCTTATTTCTCCTACCTCTCAGAACAATTTTGAAAACAATACTTTGGAAAGAATTTTGAAGCTTATGAAACTCATCTTTCTCTCCTATAAAAGATTTCTTGAATATGGGACGCCTGGGTGGCTCAGTTGGTTAAGCAACTGCCTTCGGCTCAGGTCATGATCCTGGAGTCCCGGGATCGAGTCCCTGCTCGGCAGGGAGTCTGCTTCTCCCTCTGACCTCCCCCCTCTCATGCTCTCTCTCTCTCATTCTCTCTCTCAAATAAATAAATAAAAATATTTTAAAAAGATTTCTTGAATAATAGATCAAAGCTTGTTGACATATATGTGCACCCACAAATATACTATACTGGTAGCTAGTGTTCTCTACTCCAAATTATATTATGAATTTGTAAATTCTCTCTATCATTCTTTGGCCCTGAGAACAAATAAGAAAAAAGGGAGGAAGAAATGAAGTCCCTCTAGAACTACCATCAGAAAGGGAAAGAAGGACTTCTGGGCTGCCCCAGGATAATGGTAGCTGCTAAATTGAGAATCTCTCCACACATCCTCTCAAAAAGACGACACAAATTTTAAAAGCAAAAAAAGTAAGTAAAACCACACATGACCCATGACGTTAGCATCATAAAGGGAATACTATGAACTTCAAAGTACTTGTTTGTAGAGAAACAGCCATTAAATTCCAGCAAGGCCATCTCTAGAGTTCCTCCCTCATCCCTGGGTATGTGGAAAATGGACGGAAACTTGGAAAATTGTGCAGGAAAGAGTAAGAGGGAACTGAGAACTGAAGGTTGATGGAGAGCAGACAAATCATTCCTAGAAAGAAAATGTCCCAGCCTATGTTAAAAAAGGTCCCAAACCATGGAGAGACCGGACCAGCTCTAGGGAAAGGTCTTGAAAGCAGGACTCGAGGTGCCAGTCTCAGGATGGCACCATTTCACTGAGACTAGAAGGTATATGGAGAGGAGAAGTGCCTTTTTGAGATGTGGTAGAAAGGGAAAGAAGAGGGAAAAGTTAAGAATCCTGCAGAAACAAGAGAACCATAAAACCAAAAGACACATTAAGCTTTCCTTTACCACAAAAAGTCATGTCTTAAATGAACTACTACTCTTCACTCTACTAAAAGAAGAAGGCAGTCTTGAAATAGGGATCTGTAAAACACCAGAAACTCTCATCCCTGTCTATGAACAAAAATAGGTGTAAGTGCCTTGACGTAAGTTTACTATAAGAAGAAAACAGAAAATGAAAATCAAAACATTGCTGCAGATCCCATCAACATACACACACAACCACCATTACATGGAAGAATAATGTAACATAGCATTTTAAATAAATATTCCAGCACAATTAAATACTCTCAGAAAAATACTTAGAGATGTGCAAAAATACTTGAGTCAGGCATTTAAAAATTAAAAACATAAATAAATATACAACTGGAAGAAATACAAAAATTCATTTTACTCAGAAAAAAAACTAAAGATAAAATAAAGCCATTTCAGAAATTAAGATAAAAGTTACAAGACATTCAAAAACAAATATATTTTAAGTGAAACAAATATATTTTGAGTGAAAATTTAATAAGGAACATAGAATAAAGTCAGGAAAACAATGAAAAGAATAAGGATAAAATAAAGAAAAAGGCAAAAATGATCAGAGAAAGTAGATAAAACAGAAGATAGACAAAGGAAGTCAAACCCTTTGATTGGAGTATTTGAAGAAGAAAAACAAAATCATAAAACTAATATTTAAAACTATAGTCCAAAAAAAATACCAAAATATCTCCAAAACAAAATACCCAAAACTGTATATAGAAAAAATATGTACCAAATCTAGATGTGCCAAATCTAGATGTCTGATATTCTATAGTGCCTGAAATACAATTCTCTGTGTATATAAACGAATTTTCTGTGTACATAAATGAAACAAGATGTCCAAGTAACTAACCTTTGATGACTCAGTGTTCCAAAATATTGTCGCATTCTTTTTCATCACGAGTTCAAACTTAGAGTTTGTGAATATATATTCTCCAGCCTTCACAAGGGCAATCTCTCCATTATCACCTAATTGCCAATTTAGAATATCATAGTACCCAGTCACATCTCCATTTCATCAATTTCTAGTCTCTCTCCATTATGGGTAGTAAACTTAAGTGTCTTCAAATTGTACATTAGCTAGAAAACAAGGAGAAAAAAAACAAGAGAATAAAAAAGCAATTTGTAAATATTTGATTGCCTAGAGAACAGGGCTTATGAAAAAAATAATCTCAAAACTCTTATCTATTCATGTGATTGGATTTTTTTTTTCCCTTTTCCTCTATGCCTTTGTAGGTTTGCTCTACAACTTCTAGCCACATGTGACCATTGAAACTTGAAAGGTGGCTGGCCAAACTGAGATGAGCTGTAAGTATAAAATATACACTGGATTGCAAAGACTTTGTTTAAAAAATGTAAACCATCATTAATAATTTTATATTATTATTTTATATTATATTATGATGATGACAACATGTTAAAATGCTATTTTGGATCAAATAAAACAACTATATTTAATTTCATCTGTTTCTTTTTATTTTTAAATTTAGTTACTAGAAAATTTTAAATTACCTGTGTGGCTCATACATTTCTAACAAAAAGCATTGATTAGGCATAGTGGTGCTTAATATTTCCTAATACCTCCATATCTAGGGAAGAAAGGATCTTCCTACCTCCCTCCTAGATTTCTTCCATATATAGGTATGAGTCTACCTCCCCCACCATTCCCTTACCTACATGTCAAGTGGTAGAGAAGATCAACCAATCCATTCCCTACCTTGCAAAGCTCACAATCCAGTGGAGAGCCTGAACAAATAAACAGGTACTAATAGTAAAATTCAGTGTACCTCTATGTTGCTGTTGTGGAAAGACTGTTGAAAAGGCACGGGTGAGGGAGTTAGCTAACTGATTGCCTTAGGAAAATTTAGGAGGTTTCCCCAGGAAGTAGCCATCTAGGCTGGGTTTTTAAAAATTTGTAGGAATTTGCCTGACAAATATGGGGGACAAGGAGATTATAAGCCAAAGGAATAACATGTGGAACACAGGTCCCTCTCAAACCAGAGAGGCCAAACAACTTGGTAGAAAGAGTCTGAATTACAATGTCTGATGATCTGACATCATATTTTGGCTCTTTCAAACATCATGACCTTGGGCTAAGTCATATGTCTGAATAAGCACTAGTTTCCTGGTCTGTAAAACAAGGGGAATTATTCCTGCCCTATCTCTGTCATAGAGATTAATATAACTTGAAGCCTTTAGTAAGTCAATATCCTGAGTGTTCTGAAAATCACCATCCATCCTGGAGTAGGGCCACTCCAGGTCACCTGCCCTTTTGTCTCTCCTTCCTTTTACCATATGCTGTTCTCAACCAACATAAAATCTGTATCAGAGTATACAACACGGTGACTTTTACTGGTGAGTCCATTGGGAAGAGGCATTCTTTCCCTTTCCATTCTTCAGAAGAGTTAAGAAAGGAAATTTTCAAAAGCTACCTGTCCCTGACCATTCTCTAGAACAACATTGCCATAATTCCATCTGTTTATCACCATTGGATGGTAGGACACAGTTCCCTACCACCCAGGTATACAAAAGAGCTTAGAGATATGTCCAAATAAACCACAAGAGTAAAACGGCTTTACAAATATACATATTCTGATCAGATCTGCTAATAGGATAAGCTGAGAAGAATGAGTATGGAGTACATGGTCATTTTAGTTTTAAATAAATGAAAAATTTTACTTCGGTACATTTATGAAGCATTTTTTTTTAATGAAGCATTCTTAATGAACCTGTTAAACCTCTCGTGTGAGGTCCTGCTTTTCAGTTTTTATTTACTGATATCATACGGGGTATGTGTCAAGTACTATGAATCCTGTCATGGACTATCCCACCAACACTCACCATGACACTATGTGGTCCCTTGAACCTCACTAAAGTCTCTTCTCTGTAATTCTAATACATATTTGTTGCTCTTTGAGCAAATTTAAATTATAATATTGAAATATTCAAATAATGAATTAGGGAGTTGTTATTTACCATATAGGATCCTTTTTATTATTTAAAAATAAGTACCCAAAGGATTTCTTTTAAAATGAAGGAACTGTCCTATGACCTTTAAGAGGGGGGTGGGAGGGATGGGGAGGCTGGGTGATGGACACTGGGGAGGGTATGTGCTATGGTGAGTGCTGTGAATTGCATAAGACTGATGAATCACAGACCTGTACCCCTGAAACAAATAATATATTATATGTTATTAAAAAAAATAAAATAATATATAACAATTTCTCATTCTGAATTTACCACAACTTTTCCAGTACCAAGGAACACACCTTACACTCAGATCTTGGCTTACAAATTCCATTTTCCAGTAAATGGAAATAGGATTCCTTTGGAGAAATGGCTGACCACTGATGTGAAGTAAAGGAAGTATGAGATGAGCCCAGAACATCTTGGGATTCCAGAAAATAAGGAAGTGCTCACAAGTGATAAAGATGTGTCAAAAGGAAATGAAAACCAGCTCAAAGAGGCTCCCAACAGTCAAATCTGGGAAATTTTGAGCAACAGAATAAACAATGATAGTTGTGGATTATTCTACTCGAATAGAAATAAATATCCTTGAGTCCATACTGATATAATTAAATCAGAGGGGGAGAGAAACATTCTAGTTAATAAATGTAGAAGGAATGAGGAAAATAGAAAATCACCATTTTTTAAACAACATAATAATAGCTGTTTCAGGCAAGAATCATCATCAATGGATGCTAAAATTTGTGGCAAAGCCATGATGAGAAATGTTATTTTCAGATCCTCAAAATATTGCCCTCACAAGATAATTGTTAATTACAAAGGGAAACATAGATACTTTTCAGCGAAAAAGCATGGTGACATCACTAAGTGATAAAAGTTAATGTCCACAATAATCATTCACAATGACATCATGTACCTCCTGATATGAGACATAAAAAGAATACATCACTTCTATAGTATTCTTGCCAAAAATGCATAATCTCAATGTAATCATGAGAAAAAAATAGAAAAACCCAAAACATTTAAAAATAACTGGCCAGTAAGTATAAAAAATATCAGTTGTGAAAAACAGGGGAAGAATGGAGAACTACCACAGACGGGAAGAGACTAACTAGACACAAAACTAAATGCACGGTGGGGTCCATTTGAAAATAAAAATAAAGCTGGGGTGGTTCTGACTACCGCAGACTCTATTGGGAGGGACAAGCAATTTGGTGTTGCTAGAGAATAAAGCGCTGAGAGTCATGGAAGGAATGATTGAATCAAAGACGCTAACAGTGCCAGACCACAGACAGCATGCTTTATCCTCTACGGATTAGAAGGGAGGTACTGAAGGATGTAAGCAAAGGATCACTCTGGTTAGGTGTGAGGTGTGCCCCTTGCTGAGATCATTTGGGCTACTGTGCCCCAATATGAGTTGCTGGGACATCAGAATTGAGACAGGAGATCAGAGAGCCATATCTCTAAGATGACCCCGTTAGTCTTCTCCTTCTGGCCCTCCCGCACTGCACAGAAGCTAAAGTTTCCCTCACTGCTAGGTATGACCATGTAACTAAATTCTGGCTAATAGGATGTAAGGAAAATTGTATGTAATTTCCAGGAAATATCCAGAAATGGAGGGAGGTACACATCTTTGCCCTTTTTCCTTCCTGCTGGTTACAGTATGGACATGGTGGTTGAAGTCCAAGGAGCCATTTGAGATTATAAGATGAACCCACATATTGAGAACAATGAAACAAGGTAGAAGGAATCAGGATCCCTAAGCCATCTTTCAGTCCTAGAATGCTAATCTCTGAACTTCACTTATGTGAAGGGGAAAAAAAAAACTATTTTGCATAAGGTACTGTTTTGGGGGAATTTTCTATCATTCACAACAAACCTAAAAACTCTGTTAACAAATGGGAACTTAAAAATGTTCATTTAGGTCACACAAGCAAGCGATTCTTTTAGGTAGGCGTGTGATAAAATCATATCTATTAAATACAAAAGCAAGTCAAAGGTTTTATTAGTATGAATTCTTTTAATGTCAAACTATATCATGAAGTAAAACAAACCAACAACTTACCTGCCAAGGCTCAAAGTCAGGGATATATGCCCACGTGTTTCCTGGAATGTATGGCACACGTCCTTCTTTGCATCTACTTAGACCATCCAAGCCATGGAATACACAGCTTGTTTGACATTGTTTGTGATTCTTAGCTGAGACACATCCAGATACATATTTTTAAGATCTTCCAACTTCTCCTCTCCAGTACAGAATTTATCACACATGGCATGGTATCTGTCATCCTTACCTGTTACATTCACTCTGTGGTCAATGTTGTATGGAACACTGCTATTTGGTCAAGTACAGTTAGAAGCAGTTTGCCAGAATTCAATGGTCAGGACATTGTTTGGATCTTTGCCAGGATGTACATCATAAAGAAATTCTTTTAATCTTGGTATATCAGCCCTTGGTATTGTAAATCCAATGCTTCCACCAAAATATGGGAAATATTCAGGCTTTGCAATGAGTGCTGCTGTGATCCAGGCTTCACTTGCTATCCACGTTCTGTCTGTTATGTTATGGTGAACCATTTCCAACAAAAAGGACTGAGGTCAGTATCAGATGCATAAAGCACAACGACTCTGGCAGTGAAGTTCTTCATGGCTTCAACAGCTTTGTGCATTTTCTCATTGGAATAGACTTTGGGAATGATTTCAGAGAATGCAATACAGAGATTGGCACTCTCCATTCTTTCCCTAAGAGTTTTTACTCCATATTTTCCATAATCATCATCAGCTGCTATGATGCCTCTCCAGACCCAGCCAAAGTGTTGGATAAGTTGTACCATGGCATCCTACTGGATCTTATCACTGACTACTGTGCGAACATAAGATGGAAACTGGTGTTTGTCACTAAGAATTGAGAAGGTAGAGGCATAACCCATCTACAATTGAAAATATTCATGCAGTTATTAGGAAGTAATAGCCAAATCGCATATTACACAATCTCTGAATGCTTTTATTGGAGAGGGAGGGGACTTAACAGTTGTTCTCCCTTCATTCCCACATCCTTCCATAAAAGGACTTGCAGTCTGCTCCCTAGCCCATGGGTGGGGACTGTTGGAGGGAACACTTTGACCTCCCTATGTGCCCTTTTCCCACCCCACTCCAGGGGAGTCTGAGGAGCTAATTATTAAGATGATGACATTCAATGCAGCACTTTTCACAGCTGGGGTCACAGCATGGAAAAGGAGGTCATCTGCCTTTCATCTATGTTCACATGAGACTAGGTGTGGAAGTCAAGCCATCCAGGCGCTTTCTCAGCTCTAGCTTCTCATTCACAGGGATGATGGAGCTAGCAGACTCACAGTCTATTTGGCAGGCCAGTTCCCTCTTGTTCTTCCTCCCTCCCTCATTCCCTCGGCCCCTTCTCTGTGTGTGTTTGTGTGTCTTTCCACCACCACTCCTTTCCCTCTTTCTCCTCTTTCCCTGTTTCTCTCCACCAGGACTGCTGAGTGTTTAGGTCCTGAGACTCCCTGGAGGAGAGTGGTAGGAGGTCTACCACTGCACCCGCAGGTCTAGCCACATTCTCCAACAAAGTTCTAGAAGCCCTCATTTTATAGGTGCTTGTGTAGAAAAATGAAAAGGTTTTTTTTTTTTTTTTGCATTTTGCCAGTGATTCTTGTGTGTATTTCCATCAGCACCATGAATTCTTGAGTCGTACATGCACTCCTGTTGTGCCTTTCCTCTAGCCTCCCTGACTCTACAATGAGGAACATACGCTACATTCTTCCCTTACCCATTCCTTGTTATTAATATGTTACCATCAATGGGGCCTCCTATATTATAATTCCATAGCCCCATGACTGTCAATTCCTTTATAAGAGACAAAATATTCCTCTTTTCTCTTTTCTCTACCACTTGTTCTATTCTTTTTTTCTTTAAGATTTATTTATCTATT